GTACCCACTACATCTGCAAATCTCAGCCTCATATTCTTTGCAGGGATCAGAATTACGTTAACGAAGCCTAACTAAAGAGAAGTATGCTTATTATGGTGAAGTGGCTTGTACTTGATGTTATAATATCAGGGGGCGACGCGGTGGCTCACAGCACTGGGGACCCAGGTACAATTCCACTCTCGGGAGACAGTCTGCGTGGAGTTTGCACGTTCTCTCTATATCTGCGTAGGTTTCCTCCAGGTGCTCCAATTTCCTCCCACAGTCCCAAGATGTGCAGGTTAGATGGATTAGCCATGGGAGATGCAGGGTTGCAGGGATAGGATAGCGTAGGGGAATGGGTCTAGGTGGTACGCTCTTTGGAGGATCAGTGTGGACTCAATGAGCCAAATAGCCTGCTTCCACACTGTAGGGATTCTATGATTCTAAAATTTTGTACTGAAAATATACTCAACCACATAAAATTATTATGCAATAGGATTTTGAATTGACACGCTTCATAAATGCTTTCTCTGATTTAGTGTTGCGAGGTGCACCTTTTTTTAATGTATTAGGCTATCTTAAATGTATTTGTTCTCTGAGTGCTCCTTCTAACTAACATGCTAAGTTTAAGATGTGTGGCATCCTCTTCAATAATCTGCAATGTACTCGATGCTTTATTGATCAATTCATAATGTGAATTACTGAGAAAGAGAAGTAGCTATGAACATAAAGCATCAGAAAACTAATTTTGGTCAGCAATGAAACATTTGTTTTGCTGTGTAGCAAAGTGTAGTGTTAAGGATCTTTCAGACAAGATGTCATAGGTATGAGATACTCAGCACATGTTCACCATTGATCTTCTAAGCTGCATCTTCAACTGAAGATGAAAATATTCTGCTGCACTAACATGACAGCTAACCTTTTCTTGGTCTCAATGAAACTGCTGAAGTAATGCCAATTAACAACAATTTCTGGACAGTTATTTGCTGTCGGCTTGTGTCCATTGGGAACTGGGTTGAGATAGTGAAGAAAGTAGATTCACTCCAGACATTTAACAGCTGCCAGGCAAATTAGGATTTATTCTATCTTCCTGCATTTCATTCAAACCTGAGCTTTTAAGATTTAAAAAAAAGTGACAACATGGCATCGTTCTGTCCAATCCCCATTAGCGAATTGATTCATGTATTTAACGGGAGATAAGAAATAGACAAATGACTAATGGCAGTTTGGAATTTTACTGAAATTGCAAATGCCAATAATACTCCTGCTGACAAGCTGTTGGCATCTTTAAAGTTTGATGCAATATCACACCATAAACTGAAATTGTTTAAATTGCCAGTATGGAGTGGTAACAATATAGAACAATACAGATTGCACTGAAACAAAGAAAACATGAAGGAAGGTGCATCATTATTATTTGAGATGTCAGTCTGGCCTGTACCTTCTAAGTTCACTTAATTGCAGTTTGCAACTGGGGCAAATGGGTATATTGGGTCATTTTAGCTTTTTTTGTAAATGCACAGTCAACTCCCGATCAGTCAGAGCTCCACAGGTTCAGCTTGTAACATGGCTCATTTATATTTGCTGGAAGTGACATTCAAAGACGAGGATACATTCCCTGAAAACAGAAGGAATATGTTCAAACCTTGGACAATGTTACTGAATTATCTGGAAGTATGGGGAGCCTGTAACTCACTATTGCGTTCTCCAAGACAATACATCAGTCAATCGGAGTCAACTTGACAACCAATCAGCGTGTTTTTCTCTTGCAGGAGAAACTGTTGTGGTCATTTGAAGTTTCCCCTGATGAGCACGAGATAAAAAATATCAGCAGCATGCCTGTGCTTTTTTTTAAAGCAAATTTAAATTCTCTACTACCTGACCAGTTTCTTCACACTGTGTTGCCATTACCTATCTGTCACAGGATCAAATTTTGAAACTTCCTTCCAAACCACGCTGTGGGTATAACTGCAGCAGCTGAAGTAGGTGGCTGACAAACACCTTCTGAAGGACCATGCATAATGGCAATGAATACAGGCTTTACCAGTGATGCCCACTTCCCATGAGAGAAGTCTCTTTGAAAAGCCACAATTGTTCTCTTGTTAACGTAGTTTTCATTTCTACCCTATCCGCTCGGGCTCAAGCTTGCTTCATGTCTATTGCTAACTAGATGCACTGTGTACTCTGTATGTCTCCATCAACAGTATCAACTGGCACATTGCATTTCTTTTCTTCTGACTATACATTTTGCAGAGCCTCTCCATTGCTGTGATTTGACTTTGTCATAGAGGCTCATAAAGCTACATTTTATTTCACTATTTTTAAGATGTAGAGTTCTATTACCTCAGGCATCCCTAGCCCAGTACCACATTTGGTAGTAGTGGCAAATATTGCGAATGAAACAGATCAGCCTGCAAGGATATCAAACTTATCACGCATCTTATAAAACTCAAATGATTGGTTCTGAGATAAAATTGAGAGACTTGAACCTTTTCGACCGAGGCCTACTGTCCCTTTTGGTGAAGAATTATGAGGCTCTGCTCAATGAATCTCCCTAAGTAATGGTTTGAGTATTTTAAGACATTCTTCATCTAACAGGAGCTTGGGAAAATATGGCGAACTCTAGCATTTGATAGCAATAAATTTCAAAGGAGAAACAATTGCAATGCATTTTTGAGTTTCGTTTTAAAAAGGGCATTTCCAGGCTGCGAGGTTTTGAAAGCTTTGACAGAGTCCAACAAAATACACTCTTTCAATATCATGTTAAATACATAAATTTCAGCAGATCTTTAAAGAGTTATCATTGATGTTCTGAGTAGGTCAATCTGTTATGTAGCTGTGAATAGTTGTGGCTTCAATTTAGTTTAATGCTGAAATGGTTTTGAAATTTGGGGTCTATAGATGCAGGCAGCAAAATCAGCAGATAAAATTAACAATATAATTTAAATCCCATTAGTTCCTGGCTTGAATACTTAGCAATAAGCGGTGATGTTGTGTTTCTGATAATCCTTATGAATCACAATTTGAGATTTCCTGTTAATTCTGTCGCAGGGATTGCAACCACAGAAGGGATTGTCACCTGGGTTTTTCACTGAACATTCACCAACCTTTTAATTATGTTGTAATGATTCATATAAAGTCTGCTTTGTCCTCTACCCTTTTGATTTTCTTCTATCTCTTCTTTCATTCATGTGTATGAGCTTATGAACAGATGAGTAAGAGGAAGAGTAGGCCATTCAAGCTTTCAAGCCTGATCTGCCATTCAAATAGATCACGGTTGATCCGATTCACATTTTTGTGAGTTTTGCCTTCACATCTACCCCCAATAACCTGTGATTTCCTTGTCTAACAAGAATGTATCTGCCTTAATAATATTTGATGACCCCACCTCCACCACCTTCTGAGTCAGTGAATTCCAAAGTGTCTGAACCCTCAGAGGAAAAGAAATTCCCTCATCTTTGTCCTGAAAGGGTGACCTCTAATTTTGAGACTGTGCCCCCTAGTTTCTGGTCTGACCCACAAGAGGAAACAACCTTTCCACATGCACCTTGTCAAGACCATTCAGGATTTTATAAACTTAACTTAAATCACTGCTTGCTTTTCTATACTCCAGTGAAATCAAGCCCAGACTGCCAATATTTCATCATAAGATAACCCGTTCATTCCAGATAGCAATCTAGTAAAACAGTCCAAAGATGTGCGGGTTAGGTGGATTGGCCATGCTAAATTGCCCGTAGTGTTCAGGGATGGGTCTGGGTGGGATGCACTGAGGGTCGGTGTGGACTTGTTGGGCCGAAGGGCCTGTTTCCACACTGTAGGGATTCTATGAAACATTTCAATCATTTTTTCAATAAGAAACCCAAAACTACACACAGTATTCAAGTTGTACTTTCTCCAATGCCATGCATAAATGATACATACCACCCTTACTTTTTATGTTCAATTCTGCTTCTAATACAGGATATCATTCCATTAGCCACCTTATTCATTTGCTGTACCTGTGTAGTAAGTTTTTTGAGACTCATGCACTAGAACATCAAGATCCTTTTTCACTTTGAATTCCGCAGTTGTTCTGCATTGAAGTAATACTCTGCTCTTTTATTCTTTCAGCCAAAAATGACTTCACATTTTCCCACATTGCACTCCATCTGCCCGAATTATTTTCTACTCACTCAGCCTAGGTATATCCGTCTGCCACATCCTTGTATCTTCTTCACAACGTACCTTCTTACCTTTGTCTCTGTGTCGTCTGCTCCCTCATTGCGTTGCCTCAGTCCTTAAGAAATAATGTGGTTCAGCATTCATAATCAAATTTTTGCTGCAGAATCCTACAAAGTGGAACACATTTGCTGTTAATTCCTCCATCTAATTCAGGTAGGTTCTAACAGATGTGGGGCTAGACTTTTAACATTAGTGAACCAACCGGTAGTGTGTGTAACTGGACTGGTTGGCTGGTCATGCTAAGAACAAAGAGGTGGCGATCCTAGCTTTGATTTTTCCAAACTGCTGAGCTATCCTTTTGAGCAAAGGCTGTCTGTCCAGCGTCAAGATAATTCTGGGGCAGAACAACGAGGGTGAGTTAGCATTTGCAAAAGGTGAGAAAAAACTTAAGGTAGCAATAGACCTGATCATATTTTACTGGGCCTTGATCATCACTTGTCATTCTGCCCCCACTGTTATTACTTTAAACCTGACTTTTTTGGTACCATTGGCCTCGTTTGTTTCATTTGCAATTTACATTTATACAATGTTGCCAATCAAGATATCAAAATAGCAACTTATTGTAAAATAGATGAATTTTCATGAGTGCTGATCCTTGCTTTGCTTAGTCTAGGAGTGCTGCCATGGGTACCCAAGCAGGTAAAGTAACTCCGCATTCCAGAAATGGAAACGTTTCTCCTTAGTGAATACAATAAAGCATGATTTACAAACTGGTATATTTGCTTTGAGGAGAAAGAATTAAACAATTCAAAATAATCGTTGAAAAACATCACATTTTATGTGTCTCCTTTTTATTTCAGATTCCTCAGATAAGCTATGCATCTACAGCCCCAGAGCTGAGTGATAACAGCAGGTATGACTTTTTCTCTCGTGTGGTCCCATCTGACACCTTTCAAACACAGGCCATGGTTGACATCGTCAAAGCATTACGATGGAACTATGTCTCTACCCTTGCATCTGAGGGAAGCTATGGAGAAAGTGGAGTGGAAGCCTTCATACAGAAATCTCGAGAAGACGGTCAGTACTCCTTTAGCATTGATTTTTATTAGTGCCGTAAGTAAATGTCCATACGTGGATCAAAATAAATGATCATGAGGCAGTTTTAAATTGAGGACATAAATCTGTGTATTTCCACAAATACTTGCACTGTTCAGCAGTGTTTTCTGTCAAAAGACAGGAAAAACAAAATGTTAGAAAGATCAAGCAGACAATCAATGTCATACCAGAAAATATAATAACATAAAGGTAATTTATTGCATTTACTCAAACAAGTTAAACTCTTATTGCCGCAACAGGAAGAATTCTTTAGAGTTTATAGACCATTGTGTTTCTCCCCAGTGTGTAAATTATGTTGATATGTAGTTTAGAGTGAATTTGTCCTCAAAGTATAACCATCTGCCATTCCTGACCATAATTTATTCCTGAACATAATCTAAGCCACTCAAAGTAAAGAATAAAAGCATTTCTTCTGAGCAATTTCACACAGAATTGTGACCCTGGTTGGCTTACACAGTTCCTAATGTTTCAGGTCAATCAGTACACTTGTGGGCCAAAATCAAAAGGCTATTAATCTGTATTATAATGGAAAAGAAACAACTGGGTATTTCAGTGGCTTCCAGTAGAGTTAATGGATTCTCACAAGTGAGTTGTTTTTAATTGATATTAAGAATTCTTGACAGAACAAAAGACAGTAATTGGCTGAACAGCATCAGGCTTGCATAAGTTGTGCTGAAAGTGACTTAGCAGTGATACAAAGTGACATAGAAGGCACTACATCATATTTGCATTTGTTTGTGTGTTACAGTGTCAGGCAGTTCCATAGACCTTATATTTAAACTCTGTTTTAGAATGGTTATACCAAAAAAATGATGTGCGTGTTATTACGTGTTGTGTTTTATATGCTATTTTTGTTGTTGTGCGTACAGCTCATGTCATAGAAAGAGGGAAGAATTGTTATATGCTGTGACACTAGCATATCAAGAGAACAGCACACAGTAAACCTTTTTATTCATTTAAGGGAAAAATAATCCAAGTTGCTTAGTGTAGGCATCAATCAAACTGCTAAAGCAGTCGGAGTACACTTGTAGTTTTAGCCAATCATCTTTCTTTCTGCATAGTCTTACATGCTATTGAAAATTATATCATTGATAGGCTAATGTCTTACATCATCAAATGTTTAAGTTTTCAGATAATGGTAGAGTCTTTGCTATTGTTTTAAAGATCCATCACCAATAGATCAAAAGAAGTTTCACGTTTTTGGTATTTGTCCATATTAACCATACAGCACAAGTACTCAAACTATTCAATTACTTGCTGGAAGCAATACATAGCAATACATGAGTGACAGATACTACTTCAGCAATATTGTTGAAGACTCATTATGTAGGTTATCTCTAAACCCAGTTTTCCACTGAATACGCTGTTATAGATTCGTCTCAAAAACTTAATGTGTTTGAGAAATTTGCCAAGCATTTACTGATTCTATATTTGCAGACTAATTTGAAGGCATTGAAAATGGATATTGAAATCGTAACCTTTTAATCTTACTGTTGCTTTAAAGAGAAGAAATCAGAATGGCAAAAGGGAGAATTGGAGGAGATGTAGGGGGGAAATTAGGAAAGAAGGTTAAGGACTAGAGTGGATGTGAGTTTAGGGAGGTTTGGCTTGAATGGAATAAAAGGGGGAACACGTGGAAATAATTGAATGGATGTTCTAAGAAATCCTCAATCTTCCTTGTAGCACATCTTTCATATATTGAATGAAATTTTTAAAAGTGATTCTATTTGCATTGCAAAATATTTCACTTTTACTAATACTAGTTACACAGTATGGAAAGTAAATAGATGTGAGTTTTTCTCAATTTATTACTTTCATATTTAAATTTATGGTCTGGGTTTTTTAAATGAGTCAATCCATCAGCCCATGCACAGAAAATGTGAACATTTTCCAGCTCCCCCATTGTTGATGGCAGGGTTAACACTAGAGGCCCATCAATAAACTGGATATAGGATTAATGTGCTGTAATAACTTAAAAGAGGAAATGGCAACATTTTGAGAGAAAGTGAGAAATTATAGCAGATAAAAAAATCTATGGTAAAACAGCGTTAAACTAATGGTAAAACATCAGTCAACCTGCTTAAGGCTACAACATACTGTTAACTGTATAATGTTGCAGAGAACCCTGATGTGTTCAGTGTTAGGATATAACAAAACTTCTCCACAGGTAACTATTGTTGAAACAGTACCTAATGGGAGGTTTTCACATGTTGGATGAGTTAAAAAGCACATCCTTGCAAAATTGGAGTTATCTGAGAAACTGGTATTCAGGCAACAGAAGGTAAACATTCTGGTGGCTGAGTGAGTCCTAATAAGCCTTCTCATTTTTGCACCATTCTCTGAAGGCATTGGTGCTGCTACTGCACCACAATCTCCTCTTTTCTCATCCTTATCAAAAGAAAGGAATATTCATAAGTACTATAACATCATAATCTCTGGCACCCCAATGAGAATGTCCCTTTTAAGATACAGTGCAGAATCCTTCCTATTCTGAATGTGTAGCTTCAGGACACATTGGTGATGAGCCTTATGCTAATATTCTTAAACTGCTAGTGTTAGGAAGTTAGCATGCGTTTCCATTCTCCTTCCCATCAGTTAAAATCTTACCTCATTGAAACAGACACTTAATGTTGGTACCTTTCAACGCCCTCCACCGGAATTGAAAGCTAAATCTGCCTGGTTTATTCCAGTGGCCCTTTAATTGATGCACAAGAAACTTAAATCATAGATATTAGTGTGGATGACATTATACCATCATCCTATTTTCAGTTGCATCCCACTGCTACATTTCCAGTATGTCATAATAGCATTATTTCCCAAGTGATCCAGAACAGCTGATGGGCCAATATGTGGAGAGGATTAAGTGGAGTATAATCTGGAAGGCACCTTCTGCTGATACTGGAATATGCCTCCATTAAATTTCATATAGACACTTTGGCGATGGAATCCTATGCCTTTGTCTCATTGTACCAATAAACTGGTCTAAACTGATCTTAGAATATCAAATTAAAAGAATGCGATTTAGGGCCCATATGGAGGGAGAGGAAGTTCCAACTAAGCCTTGGCCTACTATTTGTTGACTTGGAAATCTGTCCTGTTGCCCCAGAGTTTGTCCAACTCCTAACAGTTTTTCAAGATCTAAGCAGTGAAGGTAGGCAGGATGCTTGCCAAGTCCTCCATCAGAAATTTCTTTCAGCAGCCAAAGAGACAGTCATTGGCCATCTTGTTGGGGGTCAAGGAGAGGAATTAAGCTTGGAAACTGTTGGTCGGCATCGTCATTTTCCAACAGCGTCTTGTTCAAATCTAGCAGGAGCTAGAAGAGCAGAGAGAATTCCTGGCATTTTGGGACAGGGACTGGAATAAATTTCATAAAATTGTCTTTGTTTGCTCCAGTACACCTATTGAGAGAGAAATTTGAGCAACGTAGATCCATGATTAGTGGAGGTGAAAGAAGGGGGAGCACGAAATAGATGGAAATAGCTCTTGGCTGTTCTTATGAATAAAGCCCATCAGCAGAACTTGATGGATTATGGTTTCTTTAAATTTGCGATATGATTGAGCAAATGAGCCACATACATTACAACGGGTCAAGAAGACAGCTCAATTGTTCTTCTTAAGAATAGTTAGGGTTGGACAACCAATGCTGACTTTGTCAGTGACTATTTCATTGCTATTTCATACTGAAAAATAGTTGGAGGTATTGCAGTATTTGTATTGCATTTATATTTAGGTTACCTTAAATTCGTACGTGAGTGGCTTATTCCAACTACTAGCAAGAGACTTTGCTGGAGTCAGTCCATTGTTATGCATCAATGCTTGAGTGAAGTTAGAAATCTCTTTTTTTTCCTGTCAGAAAATGCATCAATTTTTATCACAGGGCAGCAGCAACAGTAGTAGCAGAAACAATCAATGGCTGTGGTATTCCCAATGAGTTGGGCATCAAATGCACAAGCTTACCAATTTATGTATGTGTACAGCACGTGCAAACAATAGAACGATATTATTCCCTTAACATCCACATGAAATTTGCCTGTGGGCAAGATATCACATATGAATAGATGATTTCCCAGAAGTTCCAGGTTGCATTTATCGTCTAGCAATCCTGTGTGTTCTCAGTGCAATCTTAGGTGATAATATTTTACAAGACTGAGTCTTGGGAAATATGGCTTGTCTTCAGAGTCATGTTTGCTGATGTCAATTCACAACTCTGTTGTCTCACATTATTTGAATGTGGAAGGCGCATTATAAAACCACAGCTTGGGATATTTGAACCAGGATTGTAATTCTTGCATGACATGGAATGGTCAGGAGGGTTTATCTCTCATCTCGGACTATAATGAACTCTTATTGCATGTTGTATGCTTAGTGCAGAGAGACTGGTATAAACCACCCATGTCAGGCAGAATTGGCAGGGGAGAGCTCCTTAACATGACAGTGAGACACTTGTCATCAGTAACTTGGATGAGTTCAGAGTTGAGAAGGCAGAGAGCAATGTTTCAGGTACTATAGAACAGTCTGGCCCAGATGCCTATCAAACACCAACATGGGTTGTGATTGAGAAAGTTATGGAAGATCAGTTGTCCTGAGTGAGGCCAATATATGTCACACCCATTGCATCACCATCATTCTCATGGGACTTTGATTCATCACTCTCACTGAACTGCAGAAGAATCAAGAGTAAACATTTCTGACATGGTTCTTGGCCCTGGGTTTATCAGGGCTGTGAGGTGTTCATCTGGCCTTTTCAAGGCTGTAGAGACCATAGCCCGAGTGGAGCCACTTTAATTTTGGTAAAAGGCCTAAGACGTGGTGATAGAAACTCTTGCAGTCTCTGTGGAAGCTAACTATAATCTCCAACACAGTGTTTGTTTTTGCAAAGCCAGTGGATTTACAGTTTACAAAACCCAGACATTAATGAAATATTGCAACAAGACCCAACTTCTCAAATTAAAATATCAAGC